TTGGGTATTTTGTCTCAGCAACGAGAGAAAAGTAACCAAGACAGCAGGGTGCGTGGCTCAGCGGCAGAGCCGGTGTTTAGTGTGCACAAGGCCTTGGTTCTGTCCCCAGCACCAAAAAGGAAAAAAACCTTTGAATTCTTGCTGGAAGAAAATAACTTGTCTTCATAACCTGAAAGACATTGTTCCACTGTATTCGTTCTTAGTGTTATGAGATGTCAGAATAACTAAAAATTTTATGTAATTTTTTTTTTTCAGATTTTTACTTGGGTGTTAGGTGCAATTTTATGTTCTTACATCAAGAGCCATTTTCTTAGCCAGGCATGGTGGCACACGTCTGAAATTCCAGCACTCTGTGAGGCTGAGGATCAGAGTTCAACTCCAGTCTAGGCAGTTGGGCAACTGAGCAAGACCTTGTTTCAAAATGAGAGAAAGCCTGGGGGTGTAGCTTGGGGCAGAGGCCCCGGGTGCAGTTCCTGGCACATATCCATACAGAAGTGCCATTTTTTTCTCCAGTCAGTAGAAAATGAAATTCACTCTAGCAAATAATTTCCCCTTATAACTTAATTGTGAAAAGGAATGAAGGCTTAGTTCACTTGTTAGCTCCATGTCTCACTCCTGGACATGAGCTTCAGAGTAGGGATTATTTCAGTTTGTATCTCCTAATAGGGGAGTTCTCTGAGTCAACAGAAATGTTTTACATCTTGATTTAGGGTAGGGGTTATATGGCCTCCAACTTAAATTTGCGTTTGAGTGTGCATAAATTTTTCTTACGAGAAAATGTATCTCACCAAAACTATCAATTATTATATACCATGGACTTTTACAATTATTTGCAAATTCTTAAAACTCACGGTTAAAGCTGCCAGTATCACTGAACTTTGTACTGTGTATCTTCCCCTTGTGTAGTACTTAGTATTTGTTATTGTGAATCTGTTGGAGATTGTCATGTGTATTTAAACCAGACTGAGACCTGTATCAGTTAGTTTTGCCTATTGAGAATTTAGTATGATGTGTACTGGTGAAAACAGTATAGCTTTATCAACAGAAAAAATTGCCAGTGCTCTCCTAGGTTTTAGATGTTAATTTTAATGGTTAAAAATTCTACATACACCCTAGATTTCCAGTTATAACAGATTTTTATTTAACTCACCCAAAATAATACTTTGGCTCCTTTTCTGACTATGCAAATTTTATTTTTAAAGGAGTTTTGACAAACTGTTTTCTTATTCTTAGGCTCTTAGCAACAACCATTTTTATGTTCTGACAGTAAGAAATCCAGAGAATGCATTTGCTATAAGCTTTTGAAAATAGTGTAATACACTGAAAAGGGGCTCTTTTAAGAGATCTAAAGTTTACCCCTATCCTAATAGTCAGGACTCAGACGTTAGGTCAGTACTTCAGGAGACCAGAGAGAGTTGGGTTTGTTCATGTCCTGCTTTTCACTTATAATTCTGTAGGTACAAAACTGGGACAGTGAAATTCTTGCAAAACAAAAGCCTCTCGTTGCCAAACCTTCTGCAAAGCTACTCTTCGTCAACAGACTAAAAGGGAAAAAGTACAAAACCAATTCCTTCACTAAAGTTCTCCAGGATGCCAGTAATTCCATGGACCATCGTGTTCCGAATTCTCAGAGGGTATGTTTTCTAGTATTGTATTTGGAATACCTACTTATTTTAGTTTGCTTCTATTCATTCTAAATTTTGATCATTTGAATTAGACATTTAAGATAAATATCTGTTATTCAAAGAATTTATATCCATATTTCTGTTTTCTAGCCTCACAGCTAATAACAGACTACCATATTCACAGATAAGTTGCTCTATTGTTTTGAACAGTTATGATTACTTTGTATTTTGAGTCACTATTGTTTGCAAAAAATACTACCATTTATTTCACTGTAGTGTCACCCTATAAAACCACCCTCTACTCATCCTGAACAAATTAAATTCAGAACAAATTAAATTAAATCCAGAACAAATGAAATTCAGGTTTAGCTGAATGTGGTGGTGCATACCTGTGATCCTAGCACTCTGGGAACCTGAGGAAAGATCACTAAGTTTGAATCCAGCCTAGGCAACTTAGCAAGACCCTGTCTCAGAATAAAACATGGAAAAAGGGCTGAAGATACAGCTCAGTGCAAAGGCGCTAGGTTCAATTCTAAGCAGTAGGATCTCTCCTTTTCTTTGGTAGTACTGGGGATTAAACCCACAGCCTTGGTGCTGAACTGCACCCCTCCTTTTTATTTTTTATTTTAAGACATTGTCTAATCACTAAACTGCTCAGACTGGACTTGAATATGCAGTCCTCCCTGCCTCAGCCTCCCAAAGTGCTGGGATTATAGGTGCACACCACCATGCGCAGCTCTGTTCAAGGATTATTAAATACCCTTTTAGAATGAAAAGCATCTGCTAGCATCAGCTTCTATTAACCATATTACTGAAACTGCAGTAATACATTTTAAAACTTTTGATTAAGAAAAACACAGCAGTGGCTAGACACCTGGGCTC